CCCGGCCTCCAGCTCCGGTCCCCATTGGCCGCTCCGCGCAGAGGCCCGCCCCCGCTTGCAGGGCCGTCCCCGGCGGGGCGGGAGGGTCCGGGCGGAGGAGGCGCTGTGTTTCCGTGGCGTGGTGTGAAGGATCAGCCGCGGACCGCGGAAGGAGAGCTCCACGGAACTACTACTCCCAAACCAGCCTGGATCCGCCATCCCCGCCGCGCCTCGTTCTCAGGCTCCGATCACTACAACTCCCGGCATGCCGTGAGCTCGACGGCCGAGGCTCGGAGGCGGTGTCCAACCCTGCGGCCCGCCGGGCTACCCCGCCGGGTCCCCGCCGCAGCCCGGGCGGCGCGCGGAGCGGCTACGCGAGCTATGCAGGAGGAGTCGCCGCCCCCGCCGGTGGGCTGTAGCAAGCCGCACCTGGAGAAGCTGACCCTGGGGATCACCCGCATCCTGGGTGAGTGGGGCGGTGACCCGGGGAGAAGGCAGCTGCGGGACCGAGCGGCCTGACGCTGGACACTGAATGCCAGTGGGCAATGCTGCTGAGACTTCCGTTGTTAAGGGAGAGAGGGGGAGCGGGGTGCGTGACTAGGCCAGGGGAACGTTTGCCGGGAGTGTTCAGAAGGAGAGCTGGGAAGTCCAAAGGTTCTTCCTACCTGAGGTCCCACCGCAGGGCCGGGTAAAGGCGGGCAGAAACGTGCAAAGAGACAGCAGGCACCTGACAGTTGGGAGCTTGAGTTTCCCAAGAGGCACTCTTGGTAGAGGGAGTATCCTTGAAGCCCACGCCCGTCCCCTGGCCACAGAGAGAGCTGGGGGGATGCTGCGGCCGACCTCCCCGGCAACAACGCCCACGCGCCTCGGTGTAGCAGTATAGCCTTGCACTGTTAAATGGGTCTTTTTCTTTTATTGTACCTTTACTTAGCACCCATCTCTATGTTAGACTTCGGGGCTAGAAAATTAAAAACACATTTATGTGGGAAAAAATCAAAAGACTAGGTCCCCAGAAGTGTGAAAGGTCGTCAGTAATCTATATATTGGTCTGAAGCAGCACACATGAGTTGGTGATTGACCTTATCTGGGGAGTTAAGGAATGTGACCCTCGGGGTTCTAGATTTTGCAAGACGAATGGGAGTTAGCCAGATAACCAAGGAGAAAGGCAGGCTAAGCTGGCCTAATAGCACGCTTTGATGGCTTACCATCACATTTATAATTAAAAATCCCAGCTTCTGTACCATGACCCATAAGTCCCTTATGATCTGCTCTCATCTGTCTTTCTGACCTTATTTTTACTGTGCTTTGGTCACAGTGGCCTCCATGTTGTACTATAAACACTTAAAGCTTATTCTCACTTCAAGGCCTTTGCAATTTGCTAGACCCTTCATCTGAAATGACCTTCTAAATCTGAGTCTCCCTCCCTCACTTCATTCAGATCTCTGATTAAATATCACTACATCTGAGAAGCCTTCCCTGATTATAGTTCTAATAACAACTTTCTTTTATCACTCGCTCTTCCCTTTAGCCCACATTTTTTTTATCCTCATGGCTTTATCACTACTTGAAATTATGTATTTATTTGGTTGCCTTCTTATTTTCTCTCTTTTCTGTAATAGAAGTCCACGATGATAGGAACTTTGTCTTGTTCTCGCCTATAATTCCCTGTGCCTAAAACAGTAAATGAAACATGCGACACCATGATGAGTTTGGGAGAAGTGATAAAGTTTAGAAATGAAGTTATAGAGTAGGGCAAGGAGATATCTAATCATCAGGACCACCCATATCCTATCTCCTCATTCATATCCAAACTTCTGCCCTGTACTTATTCCCCTGGATTTAGTCAGGCAGGTCTTGCTATTCCACAGGCATACTTCATTTCCCTCTTTATAAATCTAGGAATTTTTCTATAAATAATTTATTTTCTTTTGTTTAATGTTTAATCTACTCAAGTGTCAAGACAATTAAATTTCCCTTAAGCTGTCAGTTAAATATAAAGACCTAAATAATTAAATGACTGTAAACATTTTAAATTTCATTTATACTTTTAATATATCCTATCTATTAAGCATTTCTTTGGCAAACTGACAACACTAAAAGGCAAAATCTACCTAAGGAATTAAACAACTTTGATAATTAAAGGTATAGTGAATCTAGCCTCCTATAAAACATTCTCTTTAGAAATTTAATCAAATCATCATAATTTCAAGTTAATAATCACAAATTGAAAATCAATTATTTTTTTCACTTTTTTTTTTATTTTGAAAAGATAATATGTTAAGAGGATTTTTTAAAAGTCAAGGTTGCTGAAGTCAGCTATGGGTGTGTGGTAAGCAAACTCCCAAAATCCCATTCCTAAAAGAAATAACTCCTCAACTACAACATTTCTATTGAAAACCAAACATTTAAAAATCCTCAGCGAAATAACTATCAAACCAAATTCAGCAACATTAAAAAAGGATTATATACCAAATGTGATTTAGCCTAGGAATTTACAGTTTGTTTAACATATGAAAATCAATTAATGTAATGCACCTTGTTAATAGAATCAAGGACAGAAATCACATAATCATGTCAACAAATGCAGAGAAAGCACAAAGTCCAACACCTTTTTGTGATTAAAAAAAGAAATTCAAATTAGAAAGAAGATATAGAATGGAAATCACTTCCTTAACCTGATAAAGGGCTCTATGAAAACATACAGCCGACACTACACTTAATGGTGGAAATTCGGATGCTTTCCCATTAAAATCAGGAACAAGACAAATGTTTTGAAGATTCCCCAAGATCACGCCAGGTTCAATGGCTCGCTGGGAAGATTATAGAACTTGGGAGGTAGTCGTGCAGTGACTTACAGCAAAGGGAAAGGTGCATGTAGAGAAGTCAAGGAAACCAAGTGCAAGTTTTCAAGAGTCCTCTCAGTTTGGAATCATATGAAACACACTTGATTCTTCCAGCAAACATGTGACAACATATGTTCAGTGTCTGCTAGGGAAGCTCACCTGCTCATAGGAGCCTAGACCTTTTATTGGAAATCAGTCACTTAGGTATCTGCTACCTAGTATCTACCTAGTATATTCCAAACTCCCAGAAGGGAAGCAGATATTCAGCATAAACGCTATTGTTTGTACTAACAGTTAGGCACAGTGAGCCATTCTTACCAGGGAATGGTGGGAACCTTCCTGAAATCTAAGTTCCCAGATGCCAGCCAAGAGCCAGCCTTACCAGCAGGCGTTCCTAAAGATTGCTGTGTCAAGACTGCTATCTTCACTCTTTTCTGTACAATAAGAATTCTCCTCTTATTGCTTATATTTAACATTGTACTGAAGAGTCTAGTCAGGGCAGTTAGGCAAGAAGAGGGAAGGGCAGGGAGAGGTGGGAAAGAAGGGAGGAAGGGAAAAGGGAAAGATAAAAATGAGAACTTGCCTTTATGAGGGTCCGAGAGTGGGGTGGCAAGGGTTTTTACGATTCAGTCTTTATTGGCAAATTTAAAACATAAGAATGGGAAAGGAAAGGAGGGATGGAGGATCATTCAAGCAGTCAGTTATCCAGGTTACCCAGGGCTTTCTAAAAGGGAACTTTATGGGTTTTGGTGACCTGGTTCCTTATCTAGTTGTTTAGCTAGTAGCTGTGTCATACAGCTGGCAATTTGTTTATTCGAGATGAATGTATCTGAAATGATGCCTCGGCAATCAAAAGCTTAATGTCAGGCATTTACATTATGTGTATGTGTCCTCTTGCAACCCCCAACACTAGATGCCCCTGTGGGTGCACTCGGAGGACATCAGGATGCAACCAGATGGGTGTTGGCAAAGAATGCTGTCTTCTTCTGTCCAGCTGCAGGTGGAGTGCTAGGTTGCCAAAACTGATTAAAGTTAGACTCTGCATTTGCATAGGATAATTGTTCTAAAGGGCTATGCCAATTGGGATGCAATGACTTTTGCACATAAACACTTCATTCCTCAACTAGACCCATATTAGGCGTCAGAGAATTGGCTTTGTGGCTTAACCTCTCAGCCTCAATGTCCTTGTTGTAAAATGTGAATAATAATATTTGTCATTCACTATCTTAGCTTTGGTTGAACAGTTCCAAATGGGACCACCCCTAAAGGGACAGACAGGGTCTTCCACCCTAACCAACCAGAGGCATAGCAAGGACTCACCCCAGGTCCAATGGCTTGAAGCTCATAGTGTTTTTCTACCACACTACTATGCTTCCCAGTATCTTAGAAAGAACACCAAGCAGAAGGCAGGAGAAAAATTGTATGTATAGGATATTTTGCTTGTCCAAAGTACCGTCATTTCTGTTTCCTCTGCTTCCTTTATCAAGAGAAGTATTGTTATAAATCTTGTCTTACTGAATGCAAAGGGAAGTGAAGATTCATCTAAGGTCATACAACTAGTGAATGCATAAAGCAAGACTAGAATAGGAGGAGTCCAGAATTCTTAGCTCCTCAACTCGGCTGTTGCTACACCCCAAGATTAAGGTTTTTTGACATCTTGGAGGAACCTTTATAATGCATAGAAAGGGTACAGGCATAATTATAGAATTGTGAACCACTTCAAACTAGAAGTCTTTGCCTTATTCCTGGAGATTTAAAAGCTTTATTTCAATATATTCCCTGTTTACAGTATGCCTAGGACTCATAAAAAATAACCAATATATAGTTCAAAATAAAAAATAAGTAAGTGTAAACATATGTGGCCCCGACCCAGTATGCGATGGGATAGGATATTGGGAAAAGTGATCACTGTGAGCTAGAGTCATCTGAAATGGAAGGAGGTGGAAAGGTGGAACTTTTAGTATGGCCCTAAAATATGGATAGGACTTGGGTAGGTGGAGGAAAACATGGATGTGCTTGGGTGTGTATATTTCTTACATGATCAAAGAT